AACCTGATGTCATAATCTTTATTATTATTATTATTATTTAAAAAAATATTACTAAATTAGTTATATTATTTGTTGATTTTAACCAACAAATTATGAAGGAATAATATAGCATGACTGCATTCCTCTGTTGTGATCCATTGGTGGCCACTGCAGTCCAACAGAACTGTCGGTGGATTGCACCATAATTAGTGATTAAACCTTATCAAGAGTAAGGTACTAACTTAACTTCTAACTTCTAACTTCTAACTATTGTTCTTGGCAAAATATATATATATATATATATATAGCATGACTGACATACTTCTTGGCAGAATCTAGCCCATGTGAACACTATTGTGGAAGGCAAAGAGTGCCTGGTTCTTGGGTGGAAACCAAAACCCATCATTGCTGCTTCTTGCAGGAAATGCTCCTAAAGTTTTGGTTTTGGTTTTGGTTTGGTCTAATAAGATTTCTCTGGAGAAAAATAAAATGGAAGGATTCTTGCTGAAGAACTTCTGAAAATAAAGATCAATAAGCTGGTGTTTATGGGTTGGAATCAAACCCCAACCACATTCATGTTCATGAATTAAAGCATTCTTTTATGCTTCTCTTTGAAACAAATGAAAAAGCTGTTTTCTTTTGATGAACCGCCAAAGTTAATAAAAGAAAAGAAATTTTAAGGTTTTTAAAATTGCAAAACTAATGCCAATTCAGAAGTAAGACAGCCGAGCAAGAATACACGCTAAGGGGAATGGAGCCTTGTAACATAATAAATAGTTGTTCGGTAAAATTTATAAGAGTTTTTATTTTTTTATATTATTTATATTTTATAAATTAAGTTTTTTTTTAACTTATATTTTTTAATTTAAAAAAATTTTAAACAGTAAATTTTAAAAAAGTTTTAAATTTATATTTTTTATAAATTTTTTAACTTATTTTTTACTCATTTTTTTATTTTTAAAAATAATTTTTAAATTTTTTTTAATAAAAATTTAAATTTATCATTTATAAATAATATAAAAAATAAAAAATAAAAACTCTGATAAGATTCATAAAACATGTTCAAGGTTTGAAGCTTGGAATGGAATAGGCATTTAGTCGAACACCTTACCCCCGTATGCTCTGTTAAACGCCGCCGTTTCTATGTATTACTCAACTACTGCGCCACGTGTTTGGCGGATATTTTCTGAAACTCTCTGGATAAGACCCGATCCACATATCGATCCTGTTCGAGGGAGAAATATGAGAGACAAAGTTCAAAGGAAACAGAGCGAAGAGGAAAAGGAGAAATGGTTTCGAAAGTGGAAGTGGGTGTGCGTCTGAATGCGATGTTGAGGCTTCCGATTTCGAGTATGGGTATGGAGTGGCGAAGCGCCATGGCAGCGGATGCTGGTGAAACTTGCGGCGGGACTACTGCCTAAATCATGGTTGCAGCAAAGGACAATTTCCTGGGTAAATTTATCTTCCAAGATACAACATCTAGAAGTCTTGGGGCTGTCGTTTACAGAGTAAGCTCTTTCTGCCTTGGTAGTACTGCTTTTTTAATGGAGGAATGACTGCCCTTCGAATTGATATGTGTGTGGGGAAGTGGTAGTTTGGGTTTGTAACTTTTGCTTGGTACATAAAATTTGCTTTCCTAGTGCTCTAACCTGGGATATGACTGTGGGAATAAATGAGAACTCTATGTTGTCTGTTTTAGAAGGAAATTGAGTACTTTGATTGTTAAATGCTTTGATTGACTGATGCTTCCAAAAACTTATGACTGTGTGAACCTTCATTGGCAAAAAGGAGAAAATTGTTTTAAACTTGGTCATTAGTCTTTCGCATAGCAGAAATTCAGATGCATTTCCAAGCTTTTGTTCTTCATATTAAGAACTTTCATCCTAGGATTGAGGATGTTCAGATGGAATTTTCTATTTTAACAAGATATTATCAATCTTATACTTACGAATTTCCATGTTGTTTAATTGGGGAAAAAGTTTCCTTGCATTTTTTGTTGCATTTTCATCTGTTGCTCATTTGCTCAGTAGTATTTTTTTTATCTAGTTGACATATGTTGATGAATGTTGGGCTCTTGCCAAATAGGATGAGAAGAAGATACAAAAGACAGCATTTGAACATTATTGTGTATTGCGGGTGGCAACTACGTTTGGATATGGCTACAAGCTTGTGGTAACGTTCTTCTAACCTCAATCATTCCTTTTACCAGTTCCTTTTCCATCTAATTACCATTAACTATTTTTCCTCTCAAGCTACCAAAAAAAAAAAGAAAAAGAAAAGAAGGAACTATCCCACCCCCCTTCCCCAAAAAAAAAAAAAGAAGAAGAAGACGAAGGAGAAGAAAAACTCCTGTGTTGCTTTATTTGCTACTGGTCGTTGTTTTTCAACAACTGAAGTTGTTGAGGTTAGCATTCAATCTTTTCTGTTAACTCCATTATAATATTGTTTAAACTAGGCATTGGACTTTATTAGAAGAGGACTCAGTTTATCTGATTCCAACTGGTTTGCTTTTAATTGGATATACCAGATTTTGGAATCTCCAAACTGGATTTATACTGGAAATGAGAAATTCTTTGCAACTGTGATTTCCATTTATGTCTGCTTGTAATTAGCTATAGAGATTAGATGGAAAAAAGATTTTTCCTTTTCTAGCTTTTATATATTCATGTCTCAAATTCAATTCAGCTTTCAACAGAAGACCAGTTTAAAACAGTCGTTGACAACGTGAAAGATTTCTTTGGTATGCTAATTTGAGAAGATGACTCATTGAACTCAACTACTTCTTAGGAGTCATATTTGACTTCTACAGCAAAGGCAAGTTTAACAGCTATAAGTGATTTAGCACATCTAGAAAAGGTAAAGTTTAGCCAAAAATTAGTTTCACTTGTGGTTTCTCTTCATGAGAACTGGGAGTCAATTTCTTCTTCAGTTCTTGCTCTAAGCTTGATTTTATCTAAATATCTCTCTTGTTTCTTATACCATTGTCCAATATACTATGGTTTGTTGTTGGTTAGAAAAATAATAAAAATGGTAACTCAATAAATTTTAAGACATTATAGCACAAATGTAAATTAAGATTTAAAATATAAAAACAAAATATAAGAAGAGGATGCGTGTTTTCAGTTTAGATTGACAAGAAAAATGTTGGTTTGGACAACCACAGCCCTTGGATGTGGACCACGTTCAAGTAGCTTATGTCCACATTCAAAGGCTGTGGTTGTCTGAATTGACATTTTTATTGTTAGTCTAGATTCAAAGAAACTTTTCTCATATAAGAATATGAATCAGAAAAATATAAACAAAATATTAGCTGAGAAATGTGAAAAGTTACTCTTCACAAGAGCTTGGAGCTCTTTGATGAAGCAGGTAACTCAAAATCATATTGTCTCTAGGATACAACAGTGCTATAATTCTACACTAACTACTTAGTTTTTAGCTCAAAACACCCTTTGCTGAGATTACAAAAAAGGAATTAGGACCATTGGCTCATTTGGTAGGACTACTTTTTGTGTTTCTTATAAGCACTTTTTGAATTTGCTTATAAGTTATAAGCACTTCAAATGCTACAAAGCAACATTTTCCCTCTAACAGTTTTTAACTTTAGAGAGAATAAAAATGCTTATAAGCAACAAAAAAAAGTAGCTCTAGGAAACACACATGCTGTTATGGCAGATTACCTCCGTAGAGTTGTCATCACGGCAGGTGGTGGTTGTCCAGCTCTTGAGGAACAAGCTTGTGGTTGATGTGTCTGTGAGGATATGGGAAATACATATTTTCCCATGGCCATCCCACCACATCCAAAGAAAGTAACTTGGACTTGAAGCAAAGAACCGGTGATGGATTCCATCACAACAGGGAAGAACTTCTGCAACATTTCTGTGTCAGGTTTCTGAAGAATGTCAAATAAATGGCAATGACATTGAGCTTCCACAAAATGAGCACCATTGCCATTACATTCAATGGAGACATGGTCTTTGATCTTCCCAGCAAATGGGTAGAATCGGGTAAGAGTCTCAGACAAGGATGTTTTATGATGCTGTGATATCCTTGGCACATTCTTGGTAAGGTGACCAAGATGATCTAATTTCAGGCATGGAGAGAAAAGAACAACTGTGATGTACACAGCAGGAGCCATCTGATCATGAAAGGAAATCCTGAAGTTTCTCAAGTGGGAGGAAGTTGGAGAAGATGGCTTCAAGATTTCTCTAGCGACAATCTCAACCTCCAATCTTACTTTCTTTATCTAAACTTAATTGGAGGAGTGTTCTGGCTGGCCTCCCTTTATATTGAATTAGTAGGTTAACTACTTGATAATACAAGTGTTTGAATTTTTGATTTTGATTTTAACTTTAAATCAAAGTTTTTAAGGTAGTAGATATTAATTTAACTAACCTTTTGTTGGTTCTAACTTCTAAGTACTTATTAATACTTGTGTCATTTGCTTTCTTAAAAAAGACTTTAGTTCTTTCAGATTGTACCAAAAAAAAAAATACAGGCTATGAAAATACTTATAGGGCCTGGGCATTTTAACCTCTTTTTTATTTTTACATTGAGAATTCTGGTTTTGTCTTGAGTTGCTGGCTTTAATCCAATGGCCCTATAAGTATTTTCATAGTCTGTAAAATAAATTGATACGGCTGACTAAAAAATCCGGATTTCATAGTCGGTAAAAAGAGCTGGGAAGCTGGAAAAAATATTTTTTTTGATGCGCCTTGATTTAGAAAAATAACTTTTTTAGATACACAAATGGAGACACAATATAAGCTGTTAGGGAAAAAACAAATCAGGTAATCATTTGTACTGCCTTTTTTTT